GTCATGTACAAGTGCCAGATTGAATGCTTAGTTCTATACCATGATGGGTTTATGTTTGTTAACAACCATACATACACCAAGTAAAAACTAAAATATGGTAAACAACTCTTCGTTTCTTTCCAACAGTGATTTCGATCACGTTTGATTGTTTAGTTTGTTTTGTTTGTTTTCTTTCGTTGGTGTTTGCCTTGATTTTTGGTTTTATCGCCTGTTGAAAATGTTTTGTCCTAGCGGAACTTTGATAAATGTATTTGCGACTTGTAGTCTAAGCTTTGGATGATTAGGTGATCATGATACAATTGACAGTTGTTGAAGATCATAAATGTTGACATCGGGGTGTATTTTCTTTCATTGTGCATTTAGATTGTTGTACTCACATTGAACTGGTAACAGTCCCCAATTTCAAAAGAAGGGCAATAGATTGTTTTAATCTAAATTTCAAATTGAGTTTTATACTTATGTAATTAGTAAATTAAAAGCATGAATGAAATGGCGTATAAAATAAAGACATGTGGTATGATTGCCAATAAAACGACTATCCAAAAGAGTTCAATTGACGCTGATTTAAGCAAATATAGGTTATCGTACGGTCTTTAACAATGAGAAAAACCTATACCGTATAGTCAGCTATAAAATACACGACATAACAAAATGTGAAACTACTGATGATAAAACAATAAACGAAAAACCAATATGACAGAGAGCAACCATGCAACGACAACCACCGACCTACAGGCTCATAACTACAGGCTCATAACTTGAGACAGGCACATATATATATATATGGCGGGGTAAAACATGTTTGTGGGCGATCAAACCTCCCCAAACCTTGGACAGTAACGGTTATATATATCTGCTGATCCATCGATCACATTGGGCTTTTGTTTCTTTGATATTAGAGACTTACTATTTGATTTATTCACAATTTATCGCAGTCATGAAATACTTAATTCTTGCTACTAGTATGTAACGAATGATTAAGTCGAAAGTTTCCTCCTGCAAGACGAAAACGAATCAAGTCTCCTTGTTACTGTGTACCGCCGTATGTGATATTTCTGTTCCTCGATTCAATGGTCTTCTATTAAAATAAGCGGATTTTATCGGCTACTGGGCTAATTCATGGTTTCTATGGTTATTTTTAACCATCAATAAAACAAATTGGTGCCTTTTTTTAAGGAGGAAAAATATTTAATATATATATAAATGAATTTGAGAATGTATGAAGATTGTCTCCCCCTCTCACTCTTTCCATCGCCTAAGCAACAATCTTGTCATATATGTCTCTTTAAAACCCCTTGGATTTTTGTTTCGTTTTTTAAACGGGAAATATTATCCATGCATGCAAGATTGATTGACATGTCCAAGTATTTGTAAATTGTTTTAGATGTGATGTTTAAACATAAGTCCTAAACAACAGACTTAAGCAACAAAGCTTCCTTGGCTATACACTGCAGTTCAATGTCACAGAGTATGTTCCATAGAAAACTAGTTCATGGTGTCTTGATCATTCAGGTAATGCATGGACATTGGAAACCTACATCATGTTCCATAGAAAACTAGTTCATGGTGTCTTGATCATTCAGGTAATGTATGGACATTGGAAACCTACATCATATTCCATAGAAAAGAAGTTCATGGTGTCTTGATCATTCAGGTAATGCATGGACATTGGAAATCTACATCAATTGAATTTTTTCTTTTGTCTTCAACATATTTTTTAAAGTCGTCTGGTTTCCTTTTCGTTACAGATAGAACAAAATACACAGGTATAAAACAATGAAAATGGAACAAAATACACAGGTATAAAACGATGAAAATGGAACAAAATACACATGTATAAAACAATGAAAATGGAACAAAATACACGTATAAAACAATGAAAACCGATTACATACCATTATTAAACGATAAGCAGCATACATATGCTGATGTCTTAAACATGTAAAGATGCTGGTAGTCAATAGAATAATAAATCATAGTAATTCAGCATTTAAAACATTTTTTGATGGCAAACTTTTTTAAATCAGACACAAGAGTGCACATGTCGCCAGCTGTTATTGATATGATTACGATTGCTAACACAATTCCACCAAGCGCACCCATTGCTCTTGATGAAGATCTAGAATCGTTGGCACTGATTAACCGTCTAGTATACGAGGAAAGCTGTTTCTTATCCAGGGTGAGTGTGTTTGTTATGTTTTTAATCCATTCATTAATATCACTGCTATTCAATGGTGTTTTTTCACTTATTGTACTGTTGCATGGACATTTACACGATGTTTGATTAGTGAACACTACAATGAAACAAAAACAAAAAACAACTAAGAAAATTAATTCGTCAAAAAACTTATTTTAATGATGAATTGATGTTACTACTAAAATTAAATGTACATTCATGACAATTACATGCCAACTGATAATAACAATTAATCTTACTTAGTGCCAGATCGACATGTTAAGCGAACCAGAAACATTCTTTAGATCACGAGCCGACTAGCATGTTGTTATTCCTAAATGTTATGTGCTAATTAGAAGAGGAGCAGCAAATACAAATTTAAAAGTGTTTTGTTTGTTCAATCGGTGATCGAGCCCACGGCCTGTCGCAACTGAAGCAAATATGATACCACGAGACAACCAAGGCAATTTGAATGTGATGTAAACAATTCGCATGTGTTTATATTAATAATAATATATGAATGATTATAATTGAACACATTAATTTAAAAGTTCGAACGTGTGGTTGTTTTCGTTTGTTTGTTTTAAAAACTTGCACAAAATAAACGTATGACATTGATATTACAAACATCAAAGACACCAAGTTTATAATTTTGTTACGTAAAACGGGCGTTTCATCTTCACAAGACTCATCAATGACACTCGAATCAAAATAGGTTAAAGGTCAAAGCAAGTACGGAGTTGAGGAGCATGGATGACCCAAAATTCCAAAAAGTTTTACCCAAAATGCCTAAAGCAATCTATGCCTGGGGTACAAAAATCCTTATTTCGAATAATTCAAAGTTTTAAAAAAAAAAAATAACCTATCAATGATTTATTATGTCACCACAACAGTGATCGATCGATGACTACTGGGCTGGTGATAGCGAAAGAGTGGGTTGGGTAATGCTGTTTAATCTTTAGTTTACAGTGCAATGTTTTAAGAGAAATGTTGGCCATTCCACAATTTGATGGTGTTGACCGACTTTATCCGATTCATCATTTATGTGCCGACCTGTTGTCGCCATTTAAAATCATATAAGAACCAAATCACTGGCTATTCCGGTTGGGTGGTTCCCTTGACGACTGGTAGCTATCCATCGGCTGTACTGACCAAGTGATAGTCATGTAAACAAATGATACTTATTTGGTACATGACCAGGTAAGCTTTATTCTAAAATTTGGGCAGTCAAAAACATACAACATTTAGGAGAACCAGATCTGTACGACGGTTTAAAACAGAGTACACTTTGTCGTCTAAGGTCTACTATGTCTGGGGAAATTGCAACTTTAGTTTTAGTACTAATACATTACTCATAAACTGACAGTGTATTTTCACTACTGGGAATGCGATGTATACAAGAGATGATTAGCAATAACATTTATAGTTCATTGATATACTTACTTTTGGTTGTTCCTGTAGTTACACTTGAAAATATTGATATTTATAAGTGAAATGTTTAAGTTACATTGGTAGTACTCTTCAAATAGTTGTTTTTGTTTTTAGTGTCGTTTACTTTTGTAAACACATGTACATATAAGTATCGTTTACTTTTGTAAACACATGTACATATAAGTATCGTTTACTTTTGTAAACATATGTACATTTACGTATCGTTTACTTTTGTAAACTTTTATGTATAAATCTACTGACTGAATGTTCCCTAAACCTGTGCGTGTTTCTACGCATACTTATTGAATGTTAACTACACCTGTATGTGTAAATCTCCGTCCTTTTAAAGTTTGCCTTTAACAACCTGTTTGTGTAAATCCCTGTATGTGTATATATAAATCGTCATACACATTATATGTGAACTTTACCCGTGTGTATAAATTGTCGACTCATACGCATTACCGTTCAATGTTCACCATACATGCGTGTATAAATCGTCATACGCATTATATGATATTACCAGTGTGTATAAATCGTCATACGCATTATATGTTTACTTTACCAGTGTGTATAAATCGCCATACGCATTATATGTTTACTTTACCAGTGTGTATAAATCGTCATACGCATTATATGTTCATTCTGCCAATGTGAATACATTGTCATTCACATATATATGTTCACTATGCATGTGTGTATAAATCGTCATACGCATTATCTGTTCCCTATACCTGTGTGTATAAATCGTCATACGCATCATAATCATGTTTACCATACCTGCGTGTTTAAGTCGTCATACACATTAAATGTTCGCCATACATGTGTTTATAAATCGTCATACCCATTCACCATGATACATGTGTGTATAAATTGAAATATGCATTATTTGTTCACTATACCTGTGTACTAACTCGTTATTTACCCATTCACCATGATACATGTGTGTATAAATTGAAATATGCATTATTTGTTCACTATACCTGTGTACTAACTCGTTATTTACCCATTCACCATGATACATGTGTGTATAAATTGAAATATGCATTATTTGTTCACTATACCTGTGTACTAACTCGTTATTTACCCATTCACCATGATACATGTGTGTATAAATTGAAATATGCATTATTTGTTCACTATACCTGTGTGCTAACTCGTTATACGCATTATATGTTCACTATACTTGTGTGTATGAATCGTCATACGCATTACATGTTCACCATACCTGTCTGTATGATGCAAAATTTTATTTTCATCATACCTTAGAGTATAAATCGTCATGCCCATTATATGTTCACCATACCTGTGTATAAATCGTCATGCCCATTATATGTTCACCATACATGTATGTATGAATCACCGTACTTATTATACGTTTTCTTTCATAATACTTACCGTCTGTTGTTGTTTCTGTGGGTATACCTACAAGAAGTGAAATGTTTAAGTTGTATTTGAAAAGTTTTTTGTTGTAAAAATTGATGACATGTACCTATTAGTACTTTTTACTCTTTTTTTCTTGCATTGATTTTTCTCGTACAAAGAATGTAAGAATACACATTATTAGGTAGCTATCACATACTTCCTTTTTTAGATGGAAATCAATACTTTAAGAGTAAAACTCAACTGAAATTATAGTGAGTGTATTAAACATAGACATTTAGACTTAATATTATGTGTTCTCAGAAATTACATGATATAGATAAGAGCTTATCTTGAAAAAGAAATACATCGACTTTATAAGATAAAATTCAAACACATAATCTGTTGAATAGTTGTCTCATTTGCAATCATACCACACCTCCTTATTTTATATATATTCTCCCTTCACTAAAATGACGGTTTTGGTGGGGTTCGTTTTGCGAAGTTTTTAGCTTTCTATGTTGTGTTTTGTATACTATTGCTTGTCTATTGTTGGTTTTTGTTTTTTTGCCATGGAATTGTCAGTTAGTTTGCGACTTATGAGTTTAATTATCCTTCTGGTATGTTTCGTCTCTCTTTTCTATATATTCTAGCCAATCTTACAGCTAAACACTGTTGATGTCTCATTCGATCTACTGTTTGCCGTCTGTAATATCTCCAGAAATGCTACAAATAAATCATTAATATTTTAGAATTTGTTCCTGTAAATCTATGTAAAAAACTGACTTTTCGTCATATAAAAAATGAAAACAACTTTATCGTGCGTCCGAAGTGCTTTTCTGGATTAACCTTCATCGGGAACGCTCAAATCCGAATACTGTGCATTCATTATTATTTATTGGATACCAATTTTCGTGGGTTTCATGGGAACAGGTGAATCACGAATTCAAATGTTCAACGAATTATATATTTTCTATAGGCTTTGTATGCAGCGATTGGCAAAACCACGAAATCAAATACCCACGGAAATGAAAGCTTTCCTAAATCCACGAAAATTGATACCTACGCAAATATAAGGATCCACAGTATTTGAAAGCCAAGGATGTACGAGAATTGAAACAGTTCAAAGAGCTTTGACCAAAAAGGACATAAAGCATAGCCCAATCCATATAAGGTCAACTTTGCCTGAGGGAGTTGAAACCTTAGTTTCTTTTAAATTCATAAACGGACAATTTTTGTCGAGCCTTAGACTTTAGTCGAAAAAGCGAGACATAGCGATCCTACATTTCGTCAGCGTCGTCGTCGTCGTCGGCGGCGGCGTCCACAAATATTCACTCTGTGGTTAAAGTTTTTGAAATTTTAATAACTTTCTTAAACTATCCTGGATTTCTACCAAACTTGGACAGAAGCTTGTTTATGATCATAAGATAGTATCCAGAAGTAAATTTTGTAAAAATAAAATTCTTGTTTTTCCGTATTTTACTTGTAAATGGACTTAGTTTTTCTGACGGGAAACATTACATTCACTCTGTGGTTAAAGTTTTTAAAATTTTAATAACTTTCTTAAACTATCCTGGATTTGTACCAAACTTGGACAGAAGCTTGTTTATGATCAAAATCTAGTATCTAGAAGGAAATTTTGTTAAAATTTTGTACCTGTTTATCCGTATTTTACTTATAAATGGACTTAGTTTTTCTTCCAGTTAACATTAAATACAGTCTGCAGTTAAAGTTTTTAAAACATTTATTAGATTCATAAACTATCCTGGATTTATACCAAACTTTGACAGAAACTTCTTACAATCAAAAGATAGTATCTAAAGGAATATTTTTATTGATTTTTTTAACAGCAAAAGTAGGCGATACACTGGGTTCCGCGGAACCCTTACGAATTTTTGAAAGGTTTGTTATAAATCATGTCAGTACCGAAGTACTGACTGACTACTGATCTGATGATATCACCGGGGTCTGATTGTCCACTAGCAGCGGTATCGACCCAGTGCTATATAGCAAATAAATTAAGACAGAAATTGGTTTCATGTCATTATCTGGTTGGACATGCATCATTCAGGGGATATATATCGTCGTCCTTCACTGTTTTTAAATCTGCTTTGTGTTTGGGATATTCCAATTTTATTTTTTTTGTGATCATACCCATGATCGACGTGGAATATACCAGATTTCTTACAGAAAGAGCAAGCGCCAATTTACAAGTAAAAAATGTGTAAGGGGTTCCGCCTACGATTTCTGCTGTCAGTGTAAAAGTGTATTGTTGACTTAAAAAGTGAGTCCATTTATCAGTAAAATACAGAATGTTAAAAAAGATTCAAACTTTCTCTTTAGATGCTATTTCTTGGTCTTGAAGATTAGCTTCTGTCCAAGTTTCATAACAATCCATGAAGGTAAACAAACTTATCTTGTCAAAAATATTTAATCCCAGACTGTCAGTAAATGTTAACTGTAAAAAAAGTCCATCTATCAGAAAAATACTGAAAATGAAAATATATTTTCAAAAGTGTGCTTCAGACATTATCTCTTAATCATTAAAAAATTTCATAAAATTCTATGAAGGTTTGACAAAGTATTTGATGTGTAATAAACTTTAACCCCAGACTGTATCTACTTGTTAATTGTAAAAAAAAATCTGTCCATTTATCAGTAAAATACGGGAAAATGAAAATAAATATTTTCAAATTTTTGCTCTGGATTCTGTATTTTGGTCATAAACAAGCTTCTTCCAAATTTCATCAAATTCCATGATGGTTTGACAAAGTTATTGATAACTGAAAAACTTTAACCTTAGACTGAATCTGAATGTTTACTGTAAAAAAAACTAAGTCCATTTATCAGTAAAATACGGAAAAATGAAAATAAATGTTTTCAAAATTTTGTTCTGGATACTGTATTTTGGTCATAAACAAGCTTCTGTCCAAATTTCATCTAATTCCATGTAGGTTTGACAAAGTTATTGATGTTCAAAAAAACTTTTAACCACAGACTGAACCTAAATGTTGACGCCGCCGACGCAAACGCCCACGACGGAATCTATGATCACTATGTCTTGCTTTCGCGAAATAAATTTCGCAGGCTCGACAAAAATGGAACTCGAATATATGCTTTCTGTTTTGTAAATCAGAACTGTACAAATAATTCTTTTTAATAACCACCTGTATATGCAATAATCAAAAGATATTGACGTAGTATGACACAGATGGATGTATCAATAACTTAATCTCTCAAAACCATCAATAATTCAATGACTTACGAAAAGTGGAATTTTTAGGCAAAGGTCAATGAGACAGCAACCCGTTGACAAAAAGATTATCAAAAGACACCTAGAGGGCAAATATAAAGTTTTAAACAATAGACAGATGTTAATACTAGTACAATCATACAACATCTTCGTCATTTGGTCTATGGTAGAAAGTTCGTCTCATTGGCAATTATACAACATCTACGTCATTTGGTATATGACGGAAAGTTCGTCTCATTGGCAATCATACAACATCTACGTCATTTGGTCTACTGTGGAAAGTTCGTCTCATTGGCAATCATACAACATCTACGTCATTTTGGTCTATGACGAAAAGTTCGTCTCATTGGCAATCATACAACATCTACGTCATTTGGTCTATGGTGGAAAGTTCGTCTCATTGGCAATCATACAACATCTACGTCATTTGGTCTATGGTGGAAAGTTCGTCTCATTAGCAATCATACAACATCTACGTCATTTGGTATATGGTTGAAAGTTCGTCTCATTGGCAATTATACAACATCTACGTCATTTGGTCTATGACGGAAAGTTCGTCTCATTGGCAATCATAGAACATCTACCTCGTTTTTTTTCTGGTGGAAAGTTCGTCAAATTGGCAATCATAGAACATCTACGTCATTTGGTCTATGACGGAAAGTTCGTCTCATTGGCAATTATACAACATCTACGTCATTTGGTATATGACGGAAAGTTCGTCTCATTGGCAATCATACAACATCTAGCTCATTTGGTCTCTGGTGGAAGGTTCGTCTCATTGGCAATCATACAACATCTACGTCATTTGGTCTATGACGGAAAGTTCGTCTCATTGGCAATCATACAACATCTACGTCATTTGGTCTATGACGGAAAGTTCGTCTCATTGGCAATCATACAACATCTACGTCATTTGGTCTATGACGGAAAGTTCGTCTCATTGGCAACCATACAACATCTACATCATTTGGTTTATGACGGAAAGTTCGTCAAATTGGCGATCATAGAACATCTACGTCATTTGGTCCATGACGGAAAGTTCGTCTCATTGGCAATCATACAACATCTACGTCATTTGGTATATGGTTGAAAGTTTGTCTCATTGGGAATCATACAACATCTACCTCATTTGGTCTCTGGTGGAAAGTTCGTCTCATTGGCAATCATACAACATCTACGTCATTTGGTCTATGACGGAAAGTTCGTCTCATTGGCAATCATACAACATCTACGTCATTTGGTCTATGACGGAAAGTTCGTCTCATTGGCAATCATAGAACATCTACATCATTTGGTTTATGACGAAAAGTTCGTCAAATTGGCAATCATAGAACATCTACGTCATTTGGTCTATGACGGAAAGTTCGTCTCATTGGCAATCATACAACATCTACGTCATTTGGTATTTCGTTGAAAGTTCGTCTCATTGGCAATCATACAACATCTACCTCATTTGGTCTTTGGTGGAAAGTTCGTCTCATTGGCAATCATACAACATCTACGTCATTTGGTCTATGACGGAAAGTTCGTCTCATTGGCAATCATACAACATCTACGTCATTTGGTCTATGACGGAAAGTTCGTCTCATTGGCAATCATACAACATCTACATCATATGGTTTATGACGAAAAGTTCGTCAAATTGGCAATCATAGAACATCTACGTCATTTGGTCTATGACGGAAAGTTCGTCTCATTGGCAATCATACAACATCTACGTCATTTGGTATATCGTTGAAAGTTCGTCTCATTGGCAATCATCCAACATCTACATCATTTGGTTTATGGTGGAAAGTTCGTTTCATTGACAATCATAAAACATTTTCTTCATTTGGTCTCTGGTGGAAAGTTCTTCTCAATGGCAATCATACAATAGTTTCGCCATTTGGTCTCTGGTGGACAGTTGTCTCATGGGCAATCATATCACATATGTTTATTTTATATGGACATGATCATGATGGATGTATAACAAAAGATCCGATATCTGTAGTTCGGAATTCGAAACGAGCTTCTGTCTAATCTTATAAAAATAAATTTATATATGACATTTAAAATTGTCCTATGATAACAAAAAATGGATCAAAAACTCAAATGGAAGGGTTGCGCAGAATATAACTTCAACAAAGGAGAATGCTCTATACTAAACATTTAAATATTTGAGAAGAAACAATGACTAATTTACCAAATCTGAAAATGAGAAAAACAAATTCTCAAACTCTTCCATAATAGCAGGTGCACAATTTCAACATATGTGCAATCTTCCTGTGAAGTGTCAGGGATCTGGGTTGACAACTGTAGGAGGAGTTGATTACACAAATTAGGTACCCACTTTCCCCAATATCCACCAACCAGCCCGCTCGCCCTACATCACCATACTATAAGCAGGTTTTGGACTTGGCCCAACCCGACCAAAAGGTTGATTATAAAGTGAAATATAGGATGAAAGTACACAGCCGGTAACGTGTCCTACCATAGACTGTTTATAAATGTGATTTTGTCGGTTTTTTTTTATTAAGCTGTATATCTATGAGCATATAGTTTACATTATTAAAGGGGCATTAGCTACGAGATATACAAAAAAATAAAATATGATTTTTTTTTTGTTCAATCATTAATGAAAGTGAAATAGTGAAATAATAATTCGCTTTTAGCAGTCAGTTTGGTTCAATTTTGTCAAAATAAGATAAGAAACATCGCTGATGAATTAAAAGGAAAAGAATGTCAACATTGAAAGTGAACCACCAGACTCAAGCTAGCGTACAATAAGCCAGCGAACAATAAGGTATATCGAGCTAGCGAACAATTAGCCAGCGAACAACGAGAAATTCGCGCCAAACTGATCACGCCTAAAAACCGAAGACTTATATTAACATGAAACGTCCTTTGAAATCTGATGACAATCATTTCCAGTAGGAAGACGAAATGCTATACATTATCACGAAGACAAAATTGAATTTTTATTCATATATATATTCAAATAATATAATTTTTCTTGAAAGCCAAGCATCTCTTATAATTATGATTTTCAAAATTAATTTTAGCTACTCCTCTCCCTTTTGATTACCTTTGATTATAAACGGCTTGTCTATACTAGTATAATAATGAAAACAATAATAAAAGTAGACCATACTTATCTAGTGTAAAGATTGAATTAAATCCACATGCTGATACATACCGTTTTTGGACCGTCAAGTACAGAATTTTGCATTCAGAATTATAAGTTGAAGTAAAAGCTAATAAATATCCACAGTTTTCGTTTTGGTACGATTGAAAACTTGCAATTTTTTTTATTACATTTCAATAGGAAATGTGTTTTATGTGACAGTGACATACAAGTAGCACGAGATATGAATTGATATGAAGATTTTGGCTAATTTAACCGACAAAATTTTCAAATCCGCTTTTCAAGACAGCAAGTCCCTTAAGCTTGCACTGATTCGAATCTACAAGAATAGGGTGGAATCAAAACAATACGAACTATTTCAGTTTAAAATTAGAACGATAATCGGGGAACGGTCTAAAGTTGGGGTATGGTGACCCTACCACCTCCCTACTTTAATTCATAAAAAAGTCCCTACGGCAAAGCTTTTGTCCACACTAAGTACAAATGGTAGGCAATTGCTTAAGGTTGCCTAGACCAAAAGACCCAGGTGGGTAAAGTTACGGATCGTCTACAATTGAGGTCCAAAGTTGGGGTATGGTTACCCTAACACCTCCCTACTTTAATTCATAAAAGAGTCCCTACGGCAAAGCTTTTGTCCACACTAGGTACAAATGATAGGCAATTGCCTAAGGTTGCCTGGACCAAAAGACCCAGGTGGGTAAAGTTACGGATCGTCTACAATTGAGGTCCAAAGTTGGGGTATGGTATTGCCTATCATTTGTTCCTAGTGTGGATAAAAGCTTTGCTGTAGGGAATTTTTAACGAATTAAAGTTGAGAGGGGGTAGGGTCTCCATACCCTAACTTTGGACAACAAGGGTAAACCATTTGGTTGACTGATTCGATCAACAAAAACTCATTCTTATTAAAGTAAAAACGATGATTACTAGTAATATGTAGGACTCTCAAGTGCGATGGGGACGCTAAAACGCGATGGTCACGCTTAAGTACGTTGGTCTACGCTAAAGTGTGATGGTTTGGTACGCTTAAGTGCGATGGTCTGTGCTATTCGATGAAACATGCTCAAGTCCGATGCCTCAATACGCTAAAGTCCGTTTGTTTGCGAAAGTAAGGACGTTAGCAAAGTTTAACAGCAATGTGACATTACAAGCCGTTTGTACAAACAAAAATGGACATGCCGGAAAACCAGAATGTTTGTCCAGATGAGAGTTTTTATTAAACGGAAAAGAAAGAAGAGAGAAATAAATGATCCCAGTCCGGAACATTTTTGGTCGGTGCTGGAAGAGGTTAACTCGATTTTGGCTAATTTGTGTTTACAAAGGGCCTCAAAACGACCAGTGTAAAACAATTCAAACGAGAAAAATAACCGCCTGATTTATATACAAAACAATAAACGAAAAACAAATACGAAATACAGCAACAAACGATTACTACTGAATTACAGGTTCATAAAGTATATACTAGCTACTACAATGTAACCATTACACTTTTTTTTTAAAACTATCGTAATTCAAATTAAAGTAAGAAGATGTGGTATAATTGTCAATGAGACAACTATCCACCCAAGACCAAATGTCGTTGGCGTATGCAACTAATAACCGTACGGCCTTCAACGTGGAGCCTTGGCCCACATCGCATAGCAAGCAGTTGTAAAACAATTCAAAAGAGAAAGACAACGGCATGATTTATAAATAAAACAATAAACGAATAAAGAGCTTCGCCATGAGCACAAGACACGCCCGTCGCTTTTTCAAAGAAAAAAGTTCCATAATTCCTCAATGTCATATCAGAAATTTATTAAAAGGAGGTTATTTTGATAGATATAAACCAGTCACCAATGTTTCATGAAAACTGCTCAAAGAACTTTTGAGTTATTGTCCGAAAACTGGAAAATCCCCCTTTTTTATGAATACAACCCCATAACACAGAAACGTAAAATCTAAAATTTATAAAAATCGAAAGGGAGCTCACGTCGATAGATATAAATCAGTCACCAAAGTTTCATGAAAACTGATCAAAGAACTTTTGAGTTATTGTCCGAAAACTGGAAAATCCCCCTTTTTTAATGAATAAAACCCAATAACTCGGAAAAGTAGAAAATCTAAAATTTATAAAAATCGAAAGGGAGCTGACATCAATAGATATAAACAATTCACCAAAGTTTCATGAAAACTGCTCAAAGCATTTCGAGTTATTGTCCGAAAACTGGAAAATCCCCCTTTTTTAATGAATAAAACCCCATAACTCGGAAACGTAAAATCTAAATTTTATAAAAATCGAAAGGGAGCTCACGTCAATAGATAGAAACAATTCACCAAAGTTTCATGCAAATTGGTCCGACATGTTGACGGACGGACGGACAGACGAACAGACGCACAGACAGACGGACGAACGGACAGACGAACAGACGCACAGACAGACGGACGGACGGACAACGGTATACCATAATACGTCCCGTCAACGGGCGTATAAAACTAATAGGAATACTGCAAAACAAAATTCATAAGGGGTTCCCCGGAACCCTGTGTCTCGCCTACGATTGCTGCTGTCAGTGTAAAAGTGTAATGTTGACTTAAAAAGTGAGTCCATTTATCAGTAAAATACACAATTTAAATAAAAATTCATTAGCTTCTGTCCAAGATTCATAACAATCCATGAAGATTAACAAACTTATCATGTCAAAAAAATTTAATCCCAACCTGTCCATCTATCAGAAAAATACTGGAAATGAAAATTTATTTTTAAAAGTTTGCTTCAGACATTATCTCTTAATCATACACAAGTTTCATAAAATTCTACGAAGGTTTGACAAAGTATTTGATGTGTAACAAACTTTAACCCCAGACTGTATCTACGTGTTAACTGTAAAAAAAACCTGTCCATTTATCAGTAAAATACGACAAAATGAAAATGATTATTCTATAACGCCGACGACGGAATCTAGGATCGCTATGTCCCGCTTTCGCAGGCTCGACAAAAACCATTGCCTGAACCCAATTCCAATTACACCATCGCACTTTAGCGTTCTATACCATCGAACTTTAGCGTGCTATACCATCGAACTTTAGCGTGCTATACATCGCACTTTAGCATGTTATACCATCGCACTTTAGCGTGTTATACCATCGTACGTTAGTGTGCTATACCATCGCACTTTAGCGTGTTATACCATCGTACGTTAGTGTGCTATACCATCGAACTTTAGCATGTTATACCATCGCACTATAGCGTGTTACACCATCGCACTTTATAATTAGCGTGCTATACCATTGCACTTTAACATGTTACACCATCGCACTTAAGCTGTTATACCATCGTACTTTAAAGTGTTATACCGTTGCACTTAAATAATTAAACAACCATTGCACTTTAGCGTGTCGTATAATCGCACTTAAGAAAACAAACAACCATCGCACTTTAGCGTTTGACACCATCGTTTTTTAGCGTAGACCATCGCATTTTAGCGTGACCATCACACTTTAGATTACCGTCGCACTTTAGAGTCCTACAAACATATTTTTTTAATCTATAATATGAAATCAAACAGACCTAGAAAAATCCAATTGCACGTGGTCGCTATCTATTTATATCTATATTAATGTTTATATTGGTTTATATGACAGTCGGCAGTCTTCGGAGGTCACCTCGATGGTTAATTAGATGGCGTCTAGACTCAAATACACACGAAATACTGATACATATTATCGAGGCCATGCATCGCAAGTTTTTCGTTTTAGATTTTTTATAATTTAGAAATACGTTTTAGTATGTTATAAATCAAATATGAGAATTTGAGTCAAATCGGTGAACATAAATTTGACAGCTATTAATGCCCCTTTTAACAGCTTTGCAAAGAATGACGGCTGTTAATAAGTAAGTACATATGCGCAGACAATTGCACCGATTCAAATGTTGAAGATTTTCCCGGAACAATGGCTATGTGAAAGTGTAAACCAGAAAAGTTACGACATACTTCCAGTTTTTCATTACCTTGGAATGTTTATATAGTTATCGCATGTATCTGATATCTACAAGCGGGTCAAATATGCTAAGAAAATTTATTTATAATTTGATTAAATCAAACTTATATATTGAAAATAATGTTTGTTCGGATTACTGGTATTATTTGCAGTTAAATAAAATTCAAACATATAAACTATCAATAGGTATTTTACGTATATAATTAGTTATTTCTCTGTTAAAATTTTAAAAAAAATGTTGTTGTTTGAAAAATCTAAATAGACATAAATACCTCGCTTTCCAGATTTTGGTCCAAAGAAATTAAAAGAATCTGGATCGTCATTTAAACTAAAAACTGGCAGAGCATCAAAGTTTTCAGAGCTGTCTATCATTCGTTGACAACTGTTGTTCTGTAAGTTATACAGGAAACCTGTACACCGGTACCAATATTGACATTTCTTGTCACATTCTGATTCATCAGGTAAATCTTCAGTCTCAAAATAGGTGGCGTTGTTAAACAACACCGAGACATTGTTATATCTCACATCTGAACTGACTACAAAAACAAATAGATATGTTCATATTATTAAACTTACTTTTGAAAAATAATAATTGTCGGTCTTTTTAAGATAGAAAAGTTATCTTATCGAACGTTTTACGTACTGTTAAATGTAGAACAAAGGGTGCTGAAAAGGTTTCCCTTTGAATTATTTTTCGATTCGGTCATAAAAAGTCAAACAGCTGATTACAGTATCACATATTTATCTTCACAAAGACTTGTTTCCATATTCTAAATAAAACAATAGTTACTGTAAAATTATTAACGATTTTCATCTATATCATTTCTTAAAAGTGTGAATTTCGCTTTCCGATAAAGTCGTTTTAAAGTATTTGTTATAGGGTCCTCTAAAACAGAAAACGATCGGTCCAGGTTTTTGATTTAATCAAATAAGCTAGTTTTGAGACAGGAATGCAATAAATTTGCAAGATCTTTCATTTGAATAAAGAAAATAGTTTTTGGAAAGTTTGCAATAGCTTGCTATAGCAATAAACTTTCCTATGGCATCGGCCTCAAACCGGAAGTTGGGCAGACTATCTTACTATAGGATGTGTGTTTTACTCCTAGATAATGTAGTACTAGTGTTTGAATACAATTATAGGAAGATGCTTTTGAAATTTTGAGTTAAACTATTTTGATAAGCTTACAGCTTGAATAAAAATGGACTGAATGTTAACCGACAATTCAAATGAATCCAACTTCATTTTGAAAATGGGTATCACAAACACTACTTCGCGGATCTGCCCTGCGCGGAAGATAAAAGCAATACAAATCAACACGCGGCAACAGTTTCTACGTTTAATTCATTGAAAATTAAGAGGGCCCGATATTTATTTCGAGGTGTGTGTTGGTTTTTTTTTTTACATCTATTCATGAAATTAAAGAATTCTTATTGTTAAGAATATCGTAATCTTTTCAATTTTTACGTTTGTAAATGGTATTAGGTGTGACCTCTATAAATTATGCATACTTTGAACTGTCAGCCATTTTGTATGTTTATGTTACCTGTATGTTTTCCTACGGGATTCCCAAGACATGCGTTTAATCCGTATATGTAAACGTTCCGACGGGAGTACAATAATTCCGGTGTCAGGGTCCCCCCCCCCCCCGTCCTCCGATTGAAGAGAAAATAAATACCGTGTTTAAAATATTTCATGAATGAACATTTTCCGGCGCCATTTACGATATTTACAAATGTTTATCAAAGATTTAAAAGCCCGAGTGTATCGAAAGTATCCTCATATCTCGGCCAATAACAAAGTCGGCCTATAACATAATCGGCTTCACAAAATCGGACTATAATTACTATAGAACCATATGGGATTTTATTTTTTTTCTTAAATTTTCAAATGACTATAACTTGAAAACAGTAAGTGATAGACACACACGGTCTTCAGTAATGATCACAGGACAATAAAACAAATCAAATAAAATATAGGGTGAGTTGCTGGGGGTTATCCCCAACCCCCTTCAATTTGAGAATGTGCTTTTTATTTTGTAAACGGTCGAGATCCCCACCCCTAAACCATATATATTCTTGTATGGGACAATAAAACAAATCAAATGAAATATTGGGGGAGTCCCCAGGGTCACCCCACCCCCTTCTGTATGAGAACTTGTAATCGGTCGAGGTCCCCACCCCTAAACCATATATATTGTTGTATGGGACAATAAAACAAATCAAATAGAATATAGGGTGAGTCCCTGGGGGTCACCCCCACCCTCCTTGAATTTGAGAATGTGCTTTTAACTTGTTAATGGTCGAGATCCCCACCCCTAAACCATATATATTCTTGTATGGGACAATAAAACAAATCAAATGAAATATTGGGGGAGTCCCCAGGGTCACCCCACCCCCTCCTGTTTGAGAACTTGTAAACGGTCGAGATCCCCACCCCTAAACCATATATATTCTTGTATGGGACAATCAAACAAAATCAAATGAAATATAGCGGAAGTCCATTGGGGTCACCTCCACCCCCTTCTTTATGAAAACTTGTAAACGGTCGAGATCCCCACCCCGAAACATTATATATTCTTGTATGGGACAATAAAACAAATCAAATGAAATAAAAGTCGAGTCCCATATGGTCACTCCCACCCCCTCCTTTTTGAGAACTTGTAAACGGTCGAGATCCCCACCCCTAAACCATATATATTCTTGTATGGGATAAAAAAAACAAATCAAATGAAATAAAGAGCAAGTCCCCTTGGGATCACCCCTCCCCCTTTTTTGAGAACTTGTAAACGGTCGAGATCCCCATCCCTTAACCATATATTCCTGTTCGTCATTTCAAGAAGATTTTTATGACATACAGGGTCAATCCCTAGGCGTCACTTATGCATATCACTTTACTAGACCAAACCAATTTGTACTGGGCTTTGCCCAAATTCAGGCGACCATGGGAATGACGAATTATGGGAGCTTTGTTTGGGAGACTTCGTAACAGCATCCTGTTACAATTATTTCTTGTTAACAATGTGTCAACTCAACACAAAGTCAAAGATAATATCAAATGAATGGCTGAAAACCAAAAATCTCAAAATGTCATTGCCTCAATGCTGAATTTCACAGCAGCAACTAAAATGTATTACGTGGTTATAAAATAAAGTACCTCTACAAATCTAGTGTATATCAACTTTTTATTCCTGTCTTCATATTGCCATTATATAAATAACACATTGCTGAGAGGGTGATAGAGCAGATTGTTTCACCGAGAAAACATTGTCAACTGAGGCGAAGCCAAGGTTGACAATGTCTTTTCGAGGGGTAACAATCTGCTCTATCACCCTCTCAGATATGTGTTATTTAATTTATTATACTGAATGTTCTGTTATTACTGTATATTTAATATCAAATTCAAAGTAATAAACTATGTCGTCTTGTACATACCAATCATCCGTATTTATTAAAGCGCACACTTGAGCAAGCGTCTCCGTGAAGGGTAATAGAGTATTTGCCATGGGATAGAGTAAATTGTCTCCTCGTATTAACCAATCAAAATCTGGCATTTTGACACGAAGTATAATAATGTTTATTAAAGCCTTTCATATAAATTCACTTTCATTACAGTTGTATTGATTTAAGTTTGCTGTCTTATTTAAATTAAGAGATGTGGTAATTTTTGCGAATGAACCAGCTATTCAATAGAGTTCAAAGGAGGAAGATATATAAATAATAATAGGTCACCATACGGTCGTCAACAATGAGAAAAACTCATACCATATAGTAAGCTATAAAAGGCCCTGATATAAAAAATGTGGAACAATTCAAACAAGAAAACTAACTGCTTAATTTGTAATAATACAATTTACTAAAAACAAATATGAAGGACCTAAATCAATAAAAAATACTAAAATCACCGGCCCATTACATGGGATGGGCACAGAAAGAAATTAACAGAGCTTTCTGTATATTTGATTATTTTAAATCTACAGTTTAAGGTTGCAATAAAAATTATCAAAATTTTACATGACAAACATATGAAAAAAAGTGATTTTGATAATTGCCGATGAGCAATGGTTTCGGAAAAAACATGTGATTGAAAACATATTTGAAATAATACACATCTACAATCTATTTGAAATAATACACATCTACAACCTATTTGAAATAATACCGATGCAAACTTTCCACAGGTGCTATCCAGCACTTTGATTATTCTACCTTATTATCACTAATCTTTGAAAAAATGCAGATTATTGTTTGATTGATTAAGATAATTCTAAAATCACGAGACCTACCTATAACTCGGATAATTGATATACATATAAAGGAATGCACAGTAATTTTTCTATTTTGTATTATAGCAAGAAAAAAGTACAATAATTCAACTTTTGGTTTACCTGTCCCAAAGGACCAGTGTGACCTATTGCTACACTTTGTTTGTCGTCGTCGTTGTCTTCTGTCGCGCGATATAGGTCTAAGGAGTCCGGCAAGGAGAAAACCTTTCACCCTTTCTGTTTGCAATGTACTTAAATGATCTTGAAGACAATGTTCCCCACTTACAAAGCCCCGAAACCAAATGTCACGAACATTTGTCCATCTATCTAAAATAATTTCTTTTGTAGTATGCAGATGATACAACTATTTTATCAGAAACACCCGAATCATTGCAAGAAGTCTATTAGCATTCGAAAAGTACTGCGTACAACAGAAATTAAAAACAAATCTTTTGAAAAAGTTGTTACCTTTTGCAAGAGGAAAACCAGAATACAACCGGTTTTCCAACGTTTTGGCGAAGAATTGGAAAACCAAGATTCCTATTCATATCTTGGTTGGTTCATTTGTAAAGGAGAAACAAATTGCAGTTAACCATTCGACTAACTGCGCTATTTGGCCTTTACAGGAAATTTCGAAATATCTCTTTACCAATATAATTACAACTAAGACTTTTTGATACCCTAGTACTGCCAGTTCTTATCTACGGCTGTGAGGTGTGTGGTTTGGAAAACACCCACATTCTAGAAAAGATACACTTTAAGTTTTGAAGAAATATACTAGTTGTTTTATATCCTAGGTGTTAAAACAACAACTCCAAATTTCGTGACTTATGGTGAGCTTGGTCGATGTCCTATCGATATCATAATTAAACATAGAAAAGTAAATTTTTGAAACCGAATTATTTCCAATAATAATAAACTTTTTCCATTTTGTACTCTACAATGTTCAAATTGAACGAATCCAGATGGCATAAGTTAAAATGGATTGAACATGTAAAATCCATATTTGACAATACTGGATTTAGCTTTATATTGAATCTTCATTCAATGATAGATTCAATTCAGATAAAAACGAATATTAAGCAAAGATTAACAGATGAATTCATTAAATAATGGCACAGTCAAATCCAAAACTCATCGCAGGGGGAATATTATAGTCTTTTCAAAATCGACTTTGGCTTAGAACAAATATTTAGTAAGACTCTCATTTGCAGATAGTAAAAATATTACTAAACTGTGATGCTGCAGCCTTAAAAGCCCAAAAGAAAC